ATAATCCGTAAATTGTAAATGAGGTTTTAGTCAGCTTAGATATGGCGCCAAATGTAGAAGGACCGATAGTCGAATTTTCCCATACACTCACTTCCCAAAACTGGGCAACATCGCATACTACTCATTTACTGGTAGCCTCGAGCTAAAAATGAGTGACGTAATCGATTGTTATAGCAAAAATACGTTTGCTTCATCGACAATCCCAGCAAAGAATGTGCTACATGAAATTGACATCTGCACTCGTGGCAAGTTCACATGCTTGTCACCGTCACGGTTCGACTCCCGTTGGGGGTGTTGATAAGACCGATGCGAGGTCGAAACTGCAGTCCACTGGTGGCTGGATGGGAACAACTTTTGGGAAAGCGAGGCTTTGTGAAATTCAAGGAAAACCTCAGCTCTGATCATATGATTGTGGGAAAATTCTACTAACAGTCCTTCATGACCTTAAACGAAATATGGTGAATACTTATCATATAACTTATTTACTGGTGGTCTCGAGACTTTACTTACGTACAAAGAATAGTAACTAGGTGACTTTAGGTGATGTAATGTGTTCACACTGGTAAGTGTTGAATTTTTACGAAGAAAAGTTGGGTTTCGAGCAATCTCTTGTTTCATAATTGTTGGGCTTACTTCCATTTCGAGTAAAAGTGTTGTGTGAAGAGATTCGAAGGTCGGTTCCACCAGAAGACGACGGCGAATTGCTCTTGACCAGCTGTCGATTGGCTTTACTGGAAGATTCATGCTGACGCTGTCTCCGAGGCAATCTCCTTCGATTCCGGTGAACACGTGCTGAGCTTTCGTCCGTCATATGACGGACATCATCAGAGCGGGTAATCTCCTTCGATTCCGGTGAAAAGGTGCTAAGCTTTCGTCCGTCATATGACGAACATCATCAGAACAAGGTATCATCGTCACAACAAAATTGAAGCTTGCGAGTCAAGAAAACTCACCGGCAAATCCCTAAAAAGTGGTATATATACTGAACAAAATTCAAGCCTACGAGTCAAGAAAATTCACCGGCAAATCCCTAAAAAGTGGTATATATACTCTACATAACGAGTCTTGAAAACTCACCGGCAACTCCCAAAAAAGTGGTTCATATATTCTAAATCTGGTCTCTTTGATCAAGTATAAAGTGATTTGGTTAGTTACGGTCATACGTCAACTTCGATGCATGTGTGTCTGTCTGTCTCTGTATTTGTATGTGCCTGTTTGTGCTCACTTATGCACGAAACCGAAGTGATGGCTCAAAGTTTTCTTGACTCGTAAGCTTGAATTATGTTGTGATGATGTTACCTCGCTCTGTAGATGTCCGTCATATGACGGACGAAAGCTCACCACGTGTTTACCGGAATCGAAGGAGATTGCCTCGGAAACAGCGTCAGCATGAATCACCCAGTAAAGCCAATCGACAGCT